GCATGCATGTATGTATCAGTGAGTTTTATGTAAAAAACTGTCCAGGGGGTTAGGTAGGGATTAAGGCGGATTAACTCCCGGGTGTTCATGGCTCTTTCCCCTTGTGGTGAGCTTTTTGTACAAGGAGAGGCAGCTTATTGGGTTGGTTTGGCCTTCCATATGGGAATTCACAGAAAGTTGAGTTGCAAAATTTAATTCTGCCAGGAACAAGTGGTCTCCCTTTTGGGGTACCCAGTTGGGGTGCCAAAACCGGAATGTGGACTCTACAAAAGAGACTCTCATTTTCTTAGAGCGGGGTTCTCCAAACTTTTCAAACAATGGGCCAGTTTACTGTCCTTTAGACTTTAGGGGCGGATTGTGGCCAGTAGGGGGAGAAAATGTCCCAGGCCCGGCACGTAAACAATACCTCAGGCATAGTGTTCAGTTGCATAGTGCCTGTGGTCAGTAGGATGAGGAATAGTGCAACATCTGTCATGTTAGTGATGGAATAGTGCCTCATCAATGGTATCAGTGGATGGAACAGTGCCCCATCATTGGTGTCAGTGGATAGGATAGTGCCTCATCTCTAGTGTCAGTGGATAGGATAGTGCCTCAACTCTAGTATCAGTGGATAGAATAGTGCCCCACCACTGGTGTCAGTAGATGAAATAGTGCCCCATCTTTGGTGTCATTAGATGGAACTGTGTCCCATCACTGGTGTCAGGGGATGGAATAGCGCCCTATCATTGATATTAGTGGAAGGAATAGTGCCCCATCGTTGGTGTCAATGGAAGGAGTCGTTCTGCACCATTGGTGTCACTAGATGAAATAGTGTCTCATCATTGGTATCAGGGGATAGAATAGTGCACCATCATTGGTGTCAGTGGATAAAAAATCCTCCATCACTGGTGTCAGAGGATGGAATAGTGCCTCATCATTGATATCAGGGAGGAATAGTGCCACATCATTGGTGTCAGTGTTAGGAATAGTGCCTCCAATCTCTGGGAGCGATGGTGCCCCAAGGGACAGATAAGAGCTAGCAAAGGGCTACAACCGGCTACAAACCAATTCTTTTTATTCTGCTTTGGATGTAACAAGGAAGGGTCCATACTCTTTCAGGACTTTATGTGATGGTAATTCTTTCCAATGAGGACACAGGCAAAAACACACTTTCAGTATAGGGAAGAATGATTCAAACCCCCATTTCTTGTCCTTCTGTCACATTGGCCAGGAAATGAGGGAAGTCTCCCTATAGAAGTCAAAGACAGAAATAAGAACCTCAATAGTGCACTGATGGTAAGGAGCACTGAACTGTTCAATATGTTCATTATAATCGTGGTTTTCATATTGGTATTAGCTGGTAGCTCTATTGTTTTAGAAGTTTTGGAAATAGTCCTAGGAGAAACAAGCTTGTAAATGATAGGGCCATTCCACTTTTAAGGTCTAAAATTAGGTTTTAATTTAATTCCTTCTTTAGGACTATAAACACATGTAACTAGTATGATAAAATAACGGCAGGTTAATATATCTATATAATTATAAAATACTAAAAAGGGTGCAAGACACTACTACTGCTCTGGTGACAACGCACCTTCTGTTCCCACCAGGGGCGGACTGACCATTTGGAAACTTGGGCACTGCTCGAGGGCCTGGGGTCAGTAGGGGGCCCCATGAGATGCCCCTGGTACCTTTTTCATAGGCTTTTTTGAGTTTGGGCAAGGACACAGGGGCCCCATGATCCCTATTGCCCGGGGACCCCATGAGTTGTCAGTCCACCTCTGGTTCCCACTGGCCAGCAGTGGCACACCCCAAGCACAGCAGCCTTGCTGCTAGGCAGAAGCTCGGCAAGGCCCGTGCCACCTCCTCTACCCTGATTGTGCATGGTGTCTTGGGTGCTCTATTTAAGAATGACAAGGCCAGGGTTTTGGACTTGTGATAGGTCTAACCAGACTGGTGTGACTCTCTATTACTTTGACTCCTGGGTTTGACCCTTTGTAGTCTGTTTGGGATTTCCCTACTTTGTGCTGCCCATATTTGGATTATGCATTTGTCTGCTGCCTGCCTTGACCTCTGCATGTCCCTGAATTAAACTGACTGACCCTGGATAATGCTATTATCTGCCACCTGCTCTCACCTCTGCAGGTCCCTGAATTAAACTTTTGTCTGCCACCTGCCCTGACTTTTGCCTGCCCCTGGTTTATGCTATTGTCTGCTACCTACTCTGACCTCTGCCAGCCTCAGGACTTTGCTACTGGTGATGCATCTGCTGGAACATCTGGAGTCATGCCTGGCACCCCCAAGGCCCACAGGCACTCCTTTGTATATTCTTGTCCAGCCCCTAGTGCCACTTGGCTAGCAGCTAAAGCATTGTGTAGTAAGTCTCAAGGGTAATCATGTGTTGGTAGGCCTTTTTTTGCTTTAAGGGTATGGTGGCTGATAAAGGTGAATCTACACTTGGTGCCAACTTTGGTTTCTCACCACTGGTACTCGCAATTCATTTACCTCCCTTGTAGAAATTTTAACTCCTACCCACTGGAACCAAAACTAAAAAATAAATATCTTCCCGTTCATCTCTGTTCTGGTAATTTCTTTATACCTTCACCTGCATCTTTGTGAACTTTGTGTAAAGCTATTCTTAAGACTACAAGTTTGTTGCGAATGGACTCCCAAAACTGTAAATGATTTTTGTGTTAAGTGAGATGAGCGATTCCCACCAGCTGGCAGGCGAAGAGCTGTGAAATATCTTAGACCCCAACCACAGCGCTTTGGTTTACAATCTCTTATTAATGTATTATATGCAGCAGCATCTGTTCCTGGATGGGCTCCAAGCCATGTAATTCTATCAGATGTGATTCGGTGGCTAAGTGATAATCTGCTCCGCTTTTGCGGATGGACACTTGGCAGAATTTGTCTCCACATGCTGGTGACACGGCCTCAGCGTGAGGGTACGCCGCACTATTGTGGAATCTGTGCTTTCTCCTAGAAGCAGGCATCTCATCGTGGGAAAGTGTCTATTGAACGTATTATCGGAACATCTGCGTCGTATCGTGGGAAGGGAAGGAGAGAAGCTCTGGAGATGCAGGCAGCAGACGGAAGGCCAAAGTCGATGTCCTTCTCAGTAGCCTTCATACACTGTTCTCTTAATATTTATAAGGTTTCACTGTAAGCTAAAGGATGAAGGAAAATTAAGGTCAAGCTGACAGCAGTTTCGTTATGCAATGCTTTAACTTTGATTGTTTTACAAGCTTTTGTTGTTTTTTTGTGGTTTTTAATATTTGTGCTTGTATGTGAGAGGACTTTGGCAAGAGTGCACCTTTACATTGCAGAATTGCTAGAGAGCTGGTTGGGGAGGGCTCTATTGGAATGTATCTCCTCTTACCTGAGTAGTCTCAGCTGGATCGTTAGCCATGGTTGAAGACGGGTACCATGGGTCTCTGCGAGAACAGACTGGTAGCTTAGAAAAAAAAGCAATTACTTATGTCATCTGAAGCTCAAGCTGCACTGTGAAGCGATGTTTCCAAGGTCGGCAAATGTGCATGAGTTTTGTGCATATCCCCACCAGGACCTGTGAAGATACAAATACAGGGGTGGCTATTGCTGGCCTAGATTTTATCTGGCCTTCTGATCCCAGTGTAGCAGTACCCCCATAGGGGCCAGCAATTAGATAGGTCCCTGAGGTAGTTTCCCATAATTTTGTCCCGCAGCCAGGCACACAAACACATTCCCTCTTTGGCTCATTAAACAGTCCAGGGGTGTTCTTTTTGTGTGTTTTTTATTTTTGGAATAACTTGGATAGGAATGCCGATGGGTAGGATGCTTGAAAAACAACTATATACAAGCTGAGGACACCAACTTCTTTTTTACTTTAAGTACACTTCTTGTAGGGGACGGTAATAGACTTGGCTTAGTTGAAGCAGAGAAAGGTACAAACTTCTTCTTAAGTAACTTGAGAAGAGTCCCTTTAACACAGAACAAGCTGTACTAAGCTCTTCAGGATACCAGCTGGTACCCCCTTTTTCCTGCACTCTGTGCTGACTGTCAAGCACCAAATGGGTAGCAGCAGCCTACAGTCTCCAGGATTTCTTAAACAGTCTGTGCTCACAAGCCCTTAGACTAATGGATGCCTCCTTCCAATGTCTGCCCATGGTCCCATACCCGATCCAACAAGAGACAGTCCCTCAGTCAGCTTCCAGGCCTCTCAGCTAGACCAGCTGTGTTAAAGAGTCCCTTTAACACAGAACAAGCTGTACTAAGCTCTTCAGGATACCAGCTGGTACCCCCTTTTTCCTGCACTCTGTGCTGACTGTCAAGCACCAAATGGGTAGCAGCAGCCTACAGTCTCCAGGATTTCTTAAACAGTCTGTGCTCACAAGCCCTTAGACTAATGGATGCCTCCTTCCAATGTCTGCCCATGGTCCCATACCCGATCCAACAAGAGACAGTCCCTCAGTCAGCTTCCAGGCCTCTCAGCTAGACCAGCTAAGGACTCACGAACAGCAAGCAAACAGCAGAGTTGTCCCAGAGGGCAGCAAGTCCTCCAGGCTGGACTTCTTCCCTCCAAGATAAGACAAGACTGCTCTAGAGATCAGACCATTTATACCCATTTCCCAGCAGCCACCAGTGCAGTGGCCCACTGAGATTGACTGGGACAGTATACATTTTCATGCTGTCCATTTACATTACCCCGCACCTATGTTCCAGAACTACCCAGTTAGCCCTAGAGATACAGGGTGAAACCAATTAAATCTGCAGCCTGTGAGACACAGGGCAGAACCTAAACAATCATCATGCAGTTGCACTGACTACAGTGAGCTAGAACTAAATTTGCCTAACCCAAAATTGCAGCCTCACTGATTACAGTGAAACAAGCTAAATTTACCTGACACAAAAATTCAGCCTCATTGGATACTGTGGGCCAAACTAAATCTATCTGCTACTAACACCTATCTAGGAAACACATACATTTGAAGTCTGGGCCTATAGTTTGACAGTAGAGTTTAGATACAGAGTAGTAGTAGCCAGGTGGTTGATGGGTGGTGTTGCTGTAACAAAAAAAAGCTGCATTTTTCTTTTAGTGTTAGGTTAGGTCCAGGGGCGGACTGACCATTTGGAAACTCGGGCACTACTAGGGCCCGGGGTCAGTAGGGGGCCCCATGAGATGCCCCTGGTACCTTTTTCATAGGCTTTTTTGAGTTTGGGCAAGGACACAGGGGCCCCATGATCCCCTATTGCCCGGGGGCCCCATGATTGTCAGTCCGCCCCTGGTCAGGTCACTAGGGATTTACCTGTTCAGAAATCTATAATGGGCTTTATGGGCATTGTTCTTAGTTATGTAATGTTGTACTGACAATCTTGGTAACACACCTACCTTGATGTCAACCAGAAGCATGTTGGAGAAGAGACAAACGCTTTTGACAGCAGCAATCGTCTATAAAGACTTTGCCACTTATTAGCAGATAAAATGTTAGTGCAAGTTCCACTTGTTATGATGGTCAAGTACCTGAACTGTTCTATCTGTCCTGATGGTCAAGTACCTGAACTGTCTGTATAAATAAGCAAAAGTTGCATCTACCGTGGTGCTTATGTGTCTGCATATCTATGACTTGTGAACTGCAATAGTCCGGAGGATGAAATTGACTTTGTATTCTACAGTTCTTTGAGTTCTACAGTGTTGCAATTGCTGTGTTGCAGCTGCGATCTGATCACCGGATGTCTAAGACTGCTGTCCATCACCAGACATGGAGGATTTGGACAAGCTTCTACGCTTCTAAACTCTTGGAAAATAATGTCTGATGTTCATAGCTGTACCTGTACTCTCCAATTCTTGAAAGGGAAAGTTTGGTGTTCATTTGTTAGTCCAACATGTTTTTTTTTTTTTTTTTATGTTTTTGGAATTTTGGACATTTTTCAGCCCTAACATAGCCGAATGAGAATTTCTGTTTAGGTAAATCAGATAAGAAAATTAAGTATCTACACTCTAGATAGATACACTTTAGTCCCCATTTTTCATTTAACCTAATTTAACCAGTGGGCGGAACACATTAATTATTCTGTTGTTTACAATAGCCTTGCCTGGCTTGTGTTTTTGAATAATTTATGGACAACTAGCACTAATATACAGTCATGGCCAAAAATATTGACACCCCTGAATTTCTGCCAGATAATGCACCACTTCACCCAGAAAATTGTTGCAATTACAAATGTTTAGGCATTCTCATGTTTATTTCTTTTGTTTGTATCGGTACGACACAAAAAAGTGGAGAAACAAAAAGCCAAATCTGACACATTCCACGCAAAACCTCAAAAATGGACTGAACATAATTAATGGAACCCTCAATTTAATATTTGGTAGCACACCCCTTGGAAATAATAAAAGAAATCAATGGCTTCCTGTAACCATCAATGAGTTTCTTACACCTCTCTCCTGGAATTTTGGACCGCTCTTCTTCCCCCAACTGCTCCAGGTTTCTCAGACTGGAAGGGTTTCTTTTGCCAGCTGCTGTTTCGAGATCTCTCTACAGGCGCTCTATGGGATTGAGATCTGGACTCATTGCTGGCCACTTCAGTACTCTCCAGGGCTTTGTCTGAAACCATTTCTGGGGGCTTTTTGACTTGTGCTTTGGGTCATTGTCCTGCTGTAAGACCCATGACCTCCAACTTTCTGACACTGGGCCCTACATTGCCCCCCAGAATTCTTTGGTAGTCTTCAGATTTCATAATGCCATGCACACGGTCAAGACATCCAGTGCCTGAAGCAGCAAAGTAACCCCAAAACATCAGTGAGCCTCTACTATGTGTGACTGTAGGAACTGGATTATTTTCTGTAAAGGTCTCATTGTTTTTTCTGAAAATAATAGAATGATGGGATTTACCAAAAAGCTGTAATTTTGTTCCACTGTCCACAGCACATTCTCCCAAAAGGATTTGGGCTTCCTCAGATAAGTTTTGGCAAACTCCAGTCTGGGTTTTTTATGTTTATGTGTCAGCAGTGGGGCCCTCCTGAGTCTCCTACCATAGAGCCCCTTTTCATTCAGATGACAACGCATAGTGTGAGCTGACACAGTTTGTACCTTGTGCATGAAGATCAGCTTAAATTTGTCTGGAAGTTGATCAAGGTTCTTTATCCACCTATCGAACAATCCTTTGTAGCAATCTTTGATCTATTTTTTTTTTTTTCGTCCATGTCCAGGGAGGTTAGCTACAGTGCCATGGGCTGTTGTGCACAGTGGACACAGGAACATTAAGATCTGTTAATTGATACAGGTGAGTTTAATTACAAATTGTAGGAGCATCACAAACTTGAAATGCAATTATTTCTTTTGAATAGGTGTCAATAATTTTGTCCACTCCATTTTTGGGGTTTTGCGTGGAATGTGTCAGGTTTGGCTTTTTGTTTCTCCACAAACAAAAGAAATAAATATGAGAATGCCCAAACATTTTTAATTACACCAATTTTGTGGGTGACGTGGTGCATTATCTGACAGAAATGTAGGGGGGCCAATATTTTTGACCATGACTGTATGGTAGTAGGTCCCAAGCGCTTTTGGATTATTTCTATTTGTGATATGCTACTTGTTGCACACGCATTTATTTCTACATTCTTCCAATACACCAAATCTGCAATACCCAACCACAACTTTGCCCAGGGGCTTGGATAATCCACTTGGGATAAATTCTTCTGGAGTTCTTTCTTGCCAGGTGTTCTTTATATTACACCTCTCTGAACTGGCTTTTAGGTATTTAGGTCAGTAGAGTTCCCAGTAGCTCAGGCACAGCACATTTCACAGATTATTTTGTTGCCACCTACCGAGTCAATCCAGTTCAGAAAACTTTTATAAATTGGAATCACAAGGGCAAGGATAATTTTTTGATCAGCTTCCTCCTCCTTTCAAATTTGTTCATAGATATTTCAAAATCCAACTAACAGCTTTTGGATCAGGTAACATTTAATTTCTTTTACAAACACCATCACTGAATGAGGCCTCCAAAGAGAAACAGTGATTAGACCGTCTAAAAAAACACTGTCTGTTATTTTCCCTTAAGTGTCAGGAGTATCTGAAGGGTACCTTGCCCACCTCTTTCCATCCGCAGCACGTCCGATAGCATCTGATGTGTATGGCCAGCATGAGTGACTACCTGTCTTTTATTTATTTTTTTACTCCTTTTTGATGGTCCCAGCTTGTAAGCTTTTTTGCTTTTGTGTGCTAAAACTGTAAAATGAAGCAAAAAATGATAACTACAAGTGAATAATAAACACCGCCAGTAAAGAATAGATTTGTTTTGTGTATTACACACCCTGAGAAGTTAGCTTGCCCTTAAGGATAAAAAAAAAAAAAAAAAATTCCTTCACGGCGTTCAAAACTGAAGCCTGAATACAATGAGACTTTTTTTCTTAATTCCCTTTAGAGCATAAAAAAGGAATAGTTTGCCTGGATCTTTGCATCATGCCACTAATTGGATGCTTACAGTCTCGGATTGTGGCTTTGCTTTTAATTAACTGTTTCCGGATATAATCTCCCAAATGTTCTCTCTTCGTCCTCATTTAATCCGTCATCCTAATGGCAAGTTGATTATGCAGATCAATACTGTTTACAAACATGAAAGTCTTCAGCGAGTGTTTGAACTCTGAGCCTCAGTGACACCAGTTATCGATAGCTCGTGTACGCTCCGCAGGTGTTGTGTCAATATTTTGTGTTCGATGTGCGCTCAGCACAGCAGCCACAGGCAAAACTTTGGGGAAAACTTTACAGAAATTGTCTTTTTTTTTCATACACATGACAAACTTGAGCAGTTAATAAGCAAGCAAAGACCTGAGCATATAAAACAGAACAAGTTCCATTTTGTGTTTGTTTTTATGTATTTTAGGCATCAAGGCATAGATATTTGGGCATTTCTTAAGATCACTGATTTGCAATAGCCCCATTGTAAGCTGCATTCCATTCAACCTATGACCTTTTGAAATGGTGGATCTTCAAAGTATGTTTGTATAGTCCAATGAATGTAGAAAGTCACCAGCACATTATTTTTTTACCTATTTTATTGAAAAATAATCATGCCGTAAGTTTAATACCAATGTTTAGGAGCCTTGCACATTGGTATGACCTTTATGAATGTTGAGTGCTAGAATGGACACAATCGATAGCGCCTTTTGTATAGTCCAATAAATGTAGACAGTCACCAGAACTCCAAAAAAGTCTTTTAACCTATTTTATTTTGTATCTATGTCACAAGTTCAATATCAATGTTTAGGGTCCTTGCACATTAGTATGACCTTTAGGAATGTTGGGTGCTCGAATGGACAAAATGGATAGCACCTTTTGTATAGTCCAATAAATGTAGACAGCCACCAGCACTCCAAAAAATATTTTTTACCTATTTATTGAAAAGTATCCATGTCATGAGTTCAATACCAAAGTCACATTTTTGCTTTGAGAAAGGGAACCATGTGCACTCTATTCAGCCTATGACTTTTTGAAATGGTGGGTCTTCAAAGTGTGTGTTGTATAGTGCAATAAATGTAGAAATTGACCAGCACTCCAGAACTTTTTTTTACCTATTTTATTGAAAAATATCCATGTCACAAGTTCCAATACCAATGTTTAGGGGCCTCACACTTTGGTATGATGGGTGCTTGAATGGACACAAGTGATAGTGCCCTTTGAATAGTTCAATAAATGTAGACAGTCACCAGCACTCCCAGCTCTTTTCTTTCAACCTATTGTTTTTAGAAGCTACCATTTCACAAGTTCTATATCAATGTTTAGGGGCCTCACAGCGTCCCATTCTCTAGCCAAAAATGTAAAATCACATTGTTGCCTTGCGGAAGGGAATCATGTGCGCTCCATTCAACCTGTGATCTTTTGAAATGGTGGGTTTCTGAAGAAGTGTTTGTATAGACCAATAAATGTAGAAAGTCATCAGCACTCCAGAAAATTCTTTTTACCTATTTTAGTAAAAAGTATCCATGCCATAAGTTCAATAGCAATGTTTAGGGGCCTCAGACATAGGTAAGACCTTTAGGAATGGTGGGTGCTCGAATGGACACAATGGATAGTGCCATGTGTATAGTCCAATAAATGTA